CATTAAATTTACAGTGATCCTCTGGTTATAATCCATATGTAAGAATCAACTAAAACTAGGTTTTATTATACTTTTCCTAAAGTAACTTTTGCAGAAGAGATTTATTTTAATTTGGTAAACATTTATTGCAAAACAATCATTTGCCAGGGATCATACAAGTCCCCAAGATTCAGGATAGACCACTTTTATACTAGATTCTGTTCTATATGGAAAATTATTTTAGCAACGTTTCAGTCTACATCGATTTTGTTCTAAAATCTAAAATGGCAATAGTAGACTACAAAACATGAAAACAGTATGGTGATTACTCAAAGAATTAAACATAGAATTACCATATGATCGAGCAATTCCACTTCCGGGTATACACCCAAAAGAATTAAAAGTTGGGTTTCCAAGAGACATTTGTATACCCCAGGTTCATAACAGCATTTTCACAATAGCCAAAAAGGTGGAAGCAACCCAAGTGTCCACGAACACATGAATGGATAAACAAAATGTGGCATATACATACAATGGAATATTATTCATCCATTAAAAGGAAGGAAATTCTGACACATGCTACATGGATGAACCTTAAGGACATTACGCCAAGTGAAATAAGCCAGTCACAAAAGGACAAATACCGCATGATTCCCCTTATATGAAGTACCTAGAATAGTCAAATTCATACAGACGGGAAAGTAGAATTGTGGTTACCCTGAGTTGGTGGGGAGTGGTGGTGGATAGAGAGTTAATGCTTAACAGACAGAGTTTTAATTTGGAAAGATGAAAAAAGTTCCGGAGATGGATGGTGATGATGGTTGCACAACAGTGTGAATGTACTTAATGCCACTGAACTGTACACTTAAAATTGGTTAAAATGGTAAATTTTATCTTGTATCTATTTTACCACAATAATAAAAGGGGAAAAAAAAGCAAAAGTCTGTTTCAGACATACAAAAGCTAAAAGAACTCATCACCAGCAGACAAGCACAACACTTCATGTTAAAGGATGCCAGAAGAACAAAGATCACCAGAACTCTAGGCTATAAAACAATTCCCAATAAATGTGAAAGGACTCAAATCATATAATGGATATTTTCTGATCAGAAATGGTAACTATGGATAAATATAATGGAATTATTTTCCTCATATTAAATCTCATTAAAAGTTTATTGGTTTTAAAAACAAAGCATTGTGGGGTTTAAAACATACACAGAAAGAAAACATGACACCAACAGCACAAAAGCAAGAGAGAAGTGGAATAAACTGTTGTAAGGTCTTAATACACTTATGAAGTAATATCACACTCCACCTTTAAGTGATAAGTTGTTTACCAGAAGCCCTAAGGAAAACACAAAGGAACAAAAGAAGGAAGGAGAAAAAGAGAGAAAGAAGAAAAACATAACAGAGTTTTAGCTAATAGGCAAAAAAAAAAAAAAAAGATAAGAAGGAATCACAAAAAACCACTCAATCCATGAGGCAGAAAAAGAGAACAAAGGGAAAGTTAGAATGGCTATATTCCTATTAGACAAAGTAGATTTCTGAAGAAAGAATATTATTACCCAGGATAAAAAGAGTCTTTTTACAATGATGAAGGGGTCAACTCATCAAGAGGACATAACAAGCCTAACCATTTATGTACCTAATACTGTCCCTTCAAAATATAAAGACAAAAAAATGATAAAAATGCAAAGAAAAACATGAATCCAAAATTATATCTGGAAATTTCAATATACCTTCCACGATAATTGATAAAACAAGTAGACAGAATCAGTAAAGACACAGATGAATTTAACAATATTATTAACCAACTTGACCTAATGAGATTTATAGTCATTCCACCCAACCACAGCAAAATACCCATTTTCTTCTCAATTGCACACAAAACATTTACCAAGATAAAAAATATTGTGGGCTGTATCATAATTCTTTATACGTTTGAAAGGATTCAAATCATATAAAGTATTATTCACAATCGCAATCAACCTAGGTGTCCATCAACAAATAAAGAAAATACGGGGGGGAGGGGTATACACATGCACACACACATATATTTTTTAATGGACTATTACTGAGCCTTAAAAAGGAGAGAAATCCTGTTATGCAACATAACACAATAGGTGAACCTGGAGGACATATGATAAGTGAAATAAGCCAGGCACAGAAAGAAAAACACTGAATGATCTCACTTTTTTAAATGTGGAAACTAAAAAAGTTCAGCTCATAGAAGCAGAAAATAGAATGGTGGTTGTCAGGAACTAGGGGTGAGGCATAGGGGATATAGGGTGCTGTTGGTCAAAGGGTACAAAGTGTCAATGATGTAGAACAAATCAGTTCTGGAGGTCTAATGTACTACAGCATGGTGACTACAGTTAATAATACAGTGCTGTACACTTAAAATTTGCTGAAAGAGTAGATCTTAAATGTTCTCAACACACAAAAAAGGTAGCTATGTAAGGTGATAGATATGTTAGTTAGCTTGATAGTGGTAATCATTTCCAACGTATATTATATCAAAACGTCACACTGTACATCTTAAATATATATATGATTTTTAATTGTCAATTATACCTCAACATATCTGGAAAAAATAAAGCTATTATTCCATGTAAAAAATCATGTATTTTTCTGACTACTAAGAAATTAAATTAGAAATTAATAGCAGAAATATCCTTACAAAACTCCAAAATATTTGGAAACTAAGTAACACATCTCCAAATAAACCCTGGGTTAGAAAGAAATCAAAAAGCAGAATTAGAGATTATTTTGAGCTGAATGAAAATGAAAGCACAACATATCTAAATTTATGAGATACAGCTAACACACTATTTAGAGGGAAATTTATAGACCTAAACACTTATGTTAGAAAAGATGAAGGGTCTCAAGTCAATGACCTTGGCTTTCACCTTAATAAAGTATAAAATAAGAGCAAATTAATACCCAGGTAAGCAAAAGAAAAAGAAATAATGATCAGAATGGAAATCAATGCAACAGAAAACAGAAAAATACAGAAAATAAATGAAACCAAAAGCTGTTTTTCAGAAGATCAATAAAATTGATAAACTAGCCATAATAATTAATAAAAGACAGAAGATACCAACAATCAATATCAAGAATGAGTAATGTGAAATCACCACAGATTCTACAAATATCTTAGAAATTTGGAATTATGAATACCTTTATGCAAATAAACCTGACAACTTAGGTGAAATGGCTAAATTCCTGGAAAGACAAAAAGCTCGCTCAAGGCTGAGAACAATGGCTCATGTCTGTAATTCCAGCACTTTGGGAGGCCAAGGCAGGAGGATCGCATGAGCCCAGGAGTTCAAGACTAGCCTGGGCAGTATAGTTAAGACCTCGTCTCTACCAAAACTGAAAAAAAAAAATTTAAAAATTAGCCGGGCATGATAGCACGTGTCTGTGTGCCTGTATGTACTAGCTACTCAGGAGGCTAAGGCAAGAGGAGGATTGCTTGAGCCCTAGGAGTTCGAGGTTACAATGAGCTATGATCGTGTCACTGTACTCCAGCCCTGGTGACAGAGCAAAACTCCATCTAGATCTGTATGTACTAAAGAAATTAAATATATGTAGTTAAAAGCCTTTCCATCAATAAAAATGGAAAACTGCTCAATATATTCTATAAAACCACCATTACACTGACACCAAAACCAAAGACATTACAAGAAAAGAACACTACAGACCAATAACCCTCAAGAGCACAGAAGCAAAAATTCTTAAAGTTCTAGCAAAGTCTAACAATCTAGGATATTGATAATAAAACACAGTTAAGTGGGGTTTGTGCCAGGAAAGCAAGGTCAGTTTAACATTCAAAAAAAAAACTAATTCATCATATTAACAGACTAAAAACAAACTATGATCATGTCAACAGATGTAGAAAAAGCATTTGACAAAATCCATCATCCGTTCCCAATAAGAACTCTGAGAAAACTAAAACTAGATGATATAACCACTTTGGAAAACAATTTGGCAATTTCTTGTAAAGTTAAATAGACACCTACCATGTTACCTATCCATTCCACTCAGAGGTATTTACCCAAATGAATTAGAAGTACTTGACCATACAAACATTTGCACACAAATGTCCGTAGAAGTTTTGTTTTTTCTAAGAATTTATTTTTTTAGAGATGGGGTCTCACTGTGTTGCCCAGGCTGGTCTCAAACTCCTAGGCTCAAGAGATCCTCCCATCTCAGCCTCCCAAGTAGCCAGTACTGCACCCAGTCACGAAGTTTTATTTTTAATAGCCAAAACTTGAAAACAATCCAGATTTCTATCAACATGTGAACGGATAAACAAAATGTGTAACAATGGAAACTACTCAGCAATAAAAAGGAGTAAACTATTGTTAGATACAACAACATGGATAAATCTCAAAATAATTATGCTGAGTGAAAGAAGCCACTACAAAAAAACAATATATACTGAGTTATTCCATTCGTGTAAAACTCTAGAAAATGTAAACTAATCTATAAGGACAGAAAGCCTGAGGGCAGGGGATAGGAAGGAGCGATTATAAAGGTACATGAAGATTTTGAAGGACAGCTTCACTAAAGAAAAGATAAATAAATTTTAAAAAGGAACATGAAGAAATTTGGGGGGATGTTCATTATCTTGAATGTGATGATGGTCTTACAGGTATATAAGTGTGTCAAAATTTATAAAAACTGTATGCTTTAATTATGTGCAATTAACTTTACCTCAAAAAAGCAATTAGAAGAGTAGGATAGTGGTGACAGTTGCAGAGAATGTACTTAATGCCACTGAAATGTACACTTAAAAATGGTTAAAATGGTCAATTTTATGTTATGTTTATTTAACCACAATAAAAAATAGACTAAAAGAAAAACAGTAGGTCTACTAGACCCAAAACTGAGGCTAAAAGTGACAATGACTACGGTCAGTAAGGAGTAAGAAATCTATATACTCAGTCTATTAATACTTCTTTGACATACGCTGCCATTTGATTAAATTGAATTGAAAGCTGTTTACAAGCTGTTACCTGTGAGATATGATTGATGGAAGATTCCATTCTCCGAAGTTGAGAGGCTTGGATGTCCAGCAATTGGAGTACATTGTTGGCCAATGCATTTATTTGATAAGCAACACTAGCTAGAGATTGGGTTGTGTAGGCTTTGGTCTCTTCTAAAGCTTTTCTCTTGTCTGTAGCCTGAAAGAAGAACAAACACACGGTTATTTAGGTTAACGTTCATTAAAAATATATTCTACAGAAAGGCAAAGTTATAATTATATTTTTTAATAGAAAAATGCAATTCAATGAAAAAATTTATTGCACCAATCTGATAATAGTCCCAGGACACTGGATTAAGCCATGGCAGAAATCCCTACCTGCCAGCTGGGAAGCACACCCTCCTGAGTAGCCCAGCCACTGAGATCCACTAAAGAAGCTATCAGGCAACTGTAATCACAGTATCAGAGACACAGAGTCAGCCTGTTCTTTGAAGCTCTGAATCCAGGCATTGACTTTTCCTCCGGAGCTATGAAAGTACTAGATGGCATCTTCTCCCAATATACAGGAGATGTCTCCATTGAAAATCTGTTGTTTAGTGTTGCCCCCTTCATCAGTTATCTTAGCTAGGTAAGTTGCTGCAGCTTCCACATCAGCACTTACTGCTTTACCTTGCAGTTTTAGGTTATGGAGACAGCTTCTTCCCTTAAGCCTCATGAACCAACTTTTGCTAGCTTCCAGCTTTTCTTCTGCAGCTTCCTCACCTCTCTCAGAATGCAAAGAATTGAAGAGAGAATTTTTCCTTTAGGCCACGTGTGGTGGCTCACGCCTGTAATCCTAGCACTCTGGGAGGTTGAGGCAGGAGGATTGCTTGAGCCCAAGAGTTTGAGACCAGCCTGAGTAAGAGTGAGACCATGTCTCTACTTAAAATACAAAACACTAGCCAGCAGAGTATGCACACCTGTTGTTCCAGCTACTCAGGAGGCTGAGGCAAGAGGATCACATGAGCCCAGGAGTTTGAGGTTGCAGTGAACTATGATGATGCCACTGCTCTCTACTCGCGGTGACAGAGAAAGAGTCTGTCTCCAAAAAAAAACTGAACTTTTCCTTTCCCTTCATAATTTGGCTAACCGTTTAGCCCAAGAGGCCTAGATCTTGGCCTATCTCAGCTTTCAACATGCCTTCCTCATGTGCTTAATCATTTCTAGCTTTTGATTTAAAGTGAGAGATGTATGACTCTTCCTTTCACTTAAACACTTAAGGGCCACTGTAGGGTTATTAATTGACCTAGTTGTAATATTGTTGTATCTCAGGGAATAGGGAGGCCAAAAGAGGGAAGGAGATGGGGAAACAGGCCAATCGGTGGAGCAGTCAGAACACACAACACTTATCAATTAAGTTTGCCCTCTTATATGAGTGTAGTTCATGGTACCCCAAAACAACTGCAATAGTAACAGCAAAGAGCACTGATCACAGATCACCAGAACAAATGTAATAACAAAAACGTTTGAAATATTGCAAGAATTACCTAAATGTGACAGAGACATGAAGTGAGTACATGCCAATAGACTGTACCATCCATATACCTTAGGTGTGCAGTAGGCTATACCATCTAGGCTTGTGTAAGTATACTCTATGATACTTGCACAATGAAGATATCACCTAACAACACATTTTTCAGAACATATCCCAGTCCTTAAGTGACACACGACTTTATAACCACCAAGCAGCCTTAGTATGTTCCATGTGTCACACAAAACAGATTATAAGCTAGAAGAAAAATAGCAACTTTTTTCCAAGGAGCTAAAATAGACATTATCAATTATAACATTCTTCCTTTCAAAGTCTAGATAATCGCTCTAGGACGGCGGTCCCCAACCCCTGGGCTGCAGACCAGTACTAGTCCATGGCCTGTGAGGAACCAGGCCTCACAGCAGGAAGTGAGCGAGCAAAGCTTCATCTGTATTTACAGCCACTCCCCATGGCTCACATTACCGCATAAACTCCACTTCCTGTCAGAACAGCGGTGGCATTAGATTCTCACAGCAGCTCGAACCCCACCGTAAACTGTGCATGCGAGGGATCTAGGCTGCCTGCTCCTTATGCGACTCTAATGCCTGATGATCTGAGGTGGAGCTGAGGTGGTGATGCTAGCGCTGGGGAGCAGCTGCAAATACAGATTATCATTAGCAGAGAGGTTTGACTGCACAGAGACCATAATAAATGAATTGCTTGCAGATTCATATCAAAACCCTATCAGTGAATGCCAAGTGACAATTAAGCTGCATCTGGTGGCAGCTTCATAGTGGCAAGTGAGTTGATGTACTTCAACTGTACAGCTGCATCTGGTGGCAGCTTTAAGTCAGAATCTGACATTTATTTTAGTCCTCACAGGGCCCTCCCATTATTTTATTTATCACTTCCACCCAGGCCCATTTCCCCCACATTGCACACTTGTCTCAAAGTTGTAGTAGGCCCACAAGCTCACCCTAGCAAAAATGAGTACAAAACAAATGTTGCGGGACAGCTTCTTCGAAAAGGGGAAAGACCTAATGATGAGACAGCGGAAGACTCTAAGACCACCAACAAAATGAAAACTGCATTTAAAAGAAAACACCAAGAGTCCTACTTAAGTTACAGGTTCATTGCACCAGGTGATTCACATTCTCCAAGCCCATTTTGTATAATATGTGGCAACTGGCTAGCCAACAAAGCCAGGAAACCTTCAAAACTGCTTCGCTACATGGAGACCAAGCACCTTGCATTAAAAGACAAGGCTTTGAGCAGGGTAGTGGCCATGGAAGTCGACACCCACTAAGGAGTGTGTAACAATTCACCTGCCGAATCAACTAGCCAAAAAAAAAAAAAAGACAAGCCTTTGGAGCTTTTCAAAAGAAAAAAACGTGAACAGAGCCATTATTGAAGGCCACCACTTCATCAAATATGTCTGCACTGAGAGCAAGGAAAAATACTCAATTCTCAACAAGCTGTGGAAAACGCCTTTCACTCCCCAGGCTTCTTTGCTGCTGGCATAAACAAGCTACCATTAAGATGGCAAAACTGTGTTGGTAGTTTAGGCACATCCTTTGATAAACTGTACTGCTTTTGTTTGAGATATAATAAACTACACTATTGATTCGCAGTTGGACATTCCCTATTTAGTGACCTAATATATAGGTCTGCAGTCCCCAACCGCCGGGGCTGGGCCCCAGGGCAGTAGGTGGGTGGCCAGCAGGTGAGGGATGCTTCATCTGTGTTTGCAGCAGGTCTCCACCACTCACATCACCACGTGGGCTCCACCTCCTGTCAGATCAGAGGTAGCACTGGATTCTCACAGGAGTGAGAACCGCACCATGACCGCGGACTGTGCAGGCGAGGGATCTAGGTTTTGCACTTCTTATGAGAGTCTGCTGCCTGATGATCTGGGATGGAGCTGGGGTGTTGGTGCTGGGGAGCGGCTGCAAGTGCAGATTGTCACTGGCAGAGAAATTTGACTGCACAATGAATGCGGTGCACTTGGGTCATCCAGGGACCATCCCCCCAACTCCCTTCCATGGGAGAATTGTCTTCCATGAAGCTGGTCCCTGGTGTCCAAAAGGTTGGGGACCACTGATATAGGTGATGCTGTGAACTTCCTACTACAGATGATGAAACATCTTTTATAACAACACTCCACAGTTATTTCCAGGGTTTTCTTCTCAGGATTTTCTTCCAAGTGGCCAGTAACAATTCTGCAAATTATGATGCTGGTAATTTCTTCATTTTACCAGAAGGTGTTAAAAAAAACAAACTTTTTTTTATGACAAAAACCAGGTTTCTGTTCTCTCCTTAATGGTCTTTAAATAGTTTTTGACCAAAGGTACAGGGTAAAATAATCCAGTTAAGCCACCAAGAAAAACAACTAAATTTGCACAAGCACAAACAATGACAACTATACCATGACTGCTGTCTGGCTCACAGCTTTTTAAGGACATCATTAATTGTAAAATGCGTTCCAATTTCAGTTATTAGAACTCATGAAATATATAAGAAACACTTCCTGGTTTAAGGGTCTTTTTAAAAAAGAAGTATGTTAACGTAAATGAAAAGGATTAAAAATCTCAAGTTTTAATACACCTGTTACAGGAAGAGTTTTATATAGCATAAAGTACACAAAAATAAACATCTACCTTGCTGAAGGCCAATGTACATGTTGGTTGGTTGGAGACCTGAGAAACTTTCCAGAAAGAATCCATAATCACTTTGTGGAAAAAGATGAGAAGATTGGGGGAAAAAAGAGCACATAGGCCAAATGCTGGTTCACTACTGACAAATAAACCTATTAAGCACAGAGTCCTTGGGATTAGGGCACACATATACTCAATGCCTAGCTATCACTGAGAGGATCTAATTTCCTCCAACAGAATTCCCATTCCAATAAAAGTAAAAACTAAATATAAAGAAATCCTACCAGGTAATGGCAAGTATCCAGCAAAAAGAATACATTTTTTGCATAACAATTCAGGTTGAGACCTTTCACAGAAGCTTTAACACAGTTCCTCCCTACTACCCCCCACGTGAGCAACTGCCAACAGGCCCAGGAGCCCTTTCATTTCCAGCAACGTCCAGGGAGAAGCCCTTGCTGCCTGCTGTGTCACACAGTTTTGATGGACAGAAATGCAAGTTGTGGCACACTCTCTTCTTTAATTGGAGAGCTAACACAAAATGATCAACTGCTAGTACACATACTTATTGTATAAAATTCCAAGTTCAATCATAATGTAGAGTGTTTTAAAACATTTACAAGTCAATTTATATCCCCAGGGCATTTCCAAAAACTAGATAATTAGACTCAAATTTTAAGTTTTACCATAATTATAACCTAAGTCAATGACACTTTCCCAATTTCTTAATTCTTTTAACCTCCTGTACCATACTATAGGACTTATATTTTAAAAATAGGCTAATGCAAAACTTGGAAAAACCCAGTTCTAGAAAGAGCAACTATATTTAAATGCATATTTAGCTAAATGATTAAGTATTATTAGAGAATATCTCATATTTATTCCAAGACATTTGCTTCCTTCCATTAACTCCTTCCATGTTAACAAATTATCTTCTCATATAATTTAATTTCTTCTTAAAAGGAATTATATAGCAAAAGCCATGATAATCAAGAGTGTAGCCCAGAGCACAGAGCACGCCTGTAGTCCCAGCTGCTC